ATTTCTTAAATTTTTATGTATTTAAAAGGCAATGATTATTGATGAAATAATTAAAGATAAACTTAATCCACGTTTATTTGAACGACAAATTGATTTTATTGATTGTGTACGATTACTTGGAGATATTATTGATAGTTATCCATATAGTCAACAAATAGTAAAATTTCTAATTAATAGTTTTTATTTTATAAAAAAAAGGATAAATTATTTTAGGAATATTTATCAAAACTTTATGATGAAATTCTTCCATATTCAAGAACCGATCATGAAAAATTATTAACACATGAAGTGAAAAAAATTAATTATTTGATTTTAATTTAAATAAAAATTCTTTCTTTCTTTATTATCTAGCAACATTTAATTCTTTTTGATGATTGTCAACGATGGGCAACAATGCTTAGATCTTATTCAAATGAGAATGAATTTCAAAAGCGTCTTAAACGAAAATAAACTTTCTTTTTCTTTTTCTTATAAACATGAATAGATAAAAAAAAAATATCAAATAATGGTCATGTTTCAGATATAGAACAAAAAAAACCACAACCAAACTATGAAAGGTCTGGTTGCATTAATCACTGGTGGTGCATCAGGTTTAGGTCTTGCTTGTGCTAAACGATTTATAAAACAAGGTGCACGTGTTATTATTTGTGATTTACCTTCATCGAAAGGAAATGAAATTGTTGCACATTGGGATTCAATATCAAATACTCCAACTCAAGAACTTGATGAAAATCTTGATAAATTGGCTGCTACAGAAAGTGTAATTTATAGCATGAACGTCTTCATTCAAAATATTCACTCATTTTTTGGTCATTTAAAGATAACTGGTTAGAATTCGAAGCAATTAATTCGAATAAAACTTTTACTTTCTTTTCGAATATATGTTCAGAATTTTCTTCTGGAGTAAGAAAGAAGAATAGTCCTGCCTTTTGGTATGAGATGTTGCCTACTGGCAGATCCAGTAGCCCGATATCTTCCTTACAACTAATACTAGCTGTAGTTCTGAGTAGAAGGCCTGCCTGATTCAGAGTTTTTGCGCTGAATTTCTTGAGCTCTTTGTACACACTAACTAGCTACATACTAATATTCATAAGAGAATTGAAGAAGGGTGAGTGTGAATCATATAACTCAAAAATACCAACAATTAGCAACCTGTAGCTTTCAGAAATTCAATAAGGAAAACTTCGGACGCTTTTTGTGCGATATTATATAAGACAGAATTATTTAAAAATCTGTCATCTCTGCAAAACATTCACCGGTATTATGTTTCAAGGGAAGTTTAACAAAAAAACTCAGGAGATTTGCTAAAACTCAATAGAAATCTGTGTCATTTGACTGAGTACATACATGATTTTGTTTGCTCAACATTGAGATATGAAAAGGTAGTCCCCTGAATCGTGTCTTGAACTGCAGATCTGAGGTCTCTCTATCAGAAACACATGTCAAAATCAAAATTACATCGAAACGGAACGATCATTTTCATGCATTTTTTCAAACTTTTTGTCAAGATGATGGGTTTTAAAGAATAATTTTGTCTTATATAGTCTCAGACAAAAACACGTCCGGAGTTCTTCTCTTCCGATTGCTGAAAACCACAGATCGTTAACTGTTGCGGTTGTCGAATTATTAAGGTTACACTCTTCTCTCTTCAATTCTGGCACGAACATTAGTCACAAGAGCAGGTGTATGTCACAACATGGTCAGCATGCTTACGGATGGATGATCCGAGACAAATAGCCATTAGTGACTTGCTTAGAGTCATTTCATGGTTTGTGGTACTAAGCTTTGAACACAATACTTAGCCATGACATCTCCTTTCTCTAGTAAGATTGAATAACTATTATCAGCTTGTTGTACAATAGTGGTTTTACAGAATGTTGTTTTAGCCAATTTCCTATTTCGATTGATATATATCAAATTTAAAATGCAAAACAGTTTTAATGACTCAGTTTTGAAGAGAAAAGGTTGCTCTACAAAGTGTACTATTTACTTTTGCGTAACAGATATTAAAACTTTTGTGTTTTTAAAATGCAGTTTTTGAAACAGTGAACTTTTTAACCAACACCGATTTCCATAGAAACTAGCTCTTCAGGGGAAACGTATAGATAAGATTTCGCTTATTGTAATATCTTATTTTGTACAGAATTAAGTGTTCTGCACAATAATATTGAGCTGAAGCTGTTCCAAGACACAAACTAATGACTACATCAGAATCATTATTTTGGTTTGTACAAACACAAATTAGAACTTTTTCTTTTGGTACAAAATTTACTGACAGTTGTTTAATCTTATCCTCGAAGGAAAATCTGAACATATGTTCGGAAATAGTGGAAAATTTTGCTTCTTGCTCTAACTAGTTGTCTTTTAGTGACCGAAAAATAAGCGAATATTTCATGCCATAGGTTATAATCTTTATCTAATAAATCTAAATTAATTCCAAATTTTTTTTCTAATGTGTTTATTTTATTTAGGTGCGTCATGATCAACAAGGTGGGAAAGTAGATTTTCAAAAAATATTTGCAAAGGATACTACATCAACAAATGAAAATATTCAAAAACAAGCACCAATTTTCTTTGCGGCTGATGTTACTAATGAACAACAAATACAAGATATATTTAACAAAATAAAACAAGAATATAATCGTCTTGATGCTGTACTTAATTGTGCTGGAATTGGTGTTGCTTTTCGAACTTATAATATAAATAAAGTAAGAATAAAACTTTGATATGATTAAAATTTGAAAGGTTATAAAACAGTTTCGATTGTAAACAAGGAGAATTTAAGGTAAACCTTCTCCTTTCCCTTTTTGAGGAAAAGATAGATCTCGATAAGTAGATCAAACAAATTGTCATAAGCGTACAATTCCAAGATGCTTGTACAGAGATCGCAAAGATCAAAAATAGTCAGAAGTTTTCCTTTTGCACAAAATGCTATCCTTCATTTTTTCGAGCTGCAACCTTTTTTATGACAACTAGGATCAAATCTGGGTGTATGCTTTTTTGTCTTTTAAAAATATCGTTCCTAGAGCTCAGAAGAAGCAAGATACTGGAAGTACCGTAAAAAAAATGTTTTTTTTTCGATGGTACTAATTTTTTCAAAAGCTGCCGAATTTCTTAGAAATAGCATTTTGAAGAAAAAAAAACACGCATCTCAATTTGACTAAAACATTTAGAAAACAAATTGAGCCAGATCGAACGTACCATGTGGGAGAAAAGGGAGGAAACATTGTTTTTTCTTTTCATATGTGTCTTTTTTGCTCATTTTGAATTAATACAATTTATCTTTTATTGCGCATCAAATGTGCATATAAAGAACTGTTTCTAAGGAATATTCATAGGGTTAAACAGCACTTCTCATATATGAAACAAGTTCTTTAATTGAAACAGCTGATGAGTACCAGTTATGATTTTTCTTCTTTCTGATATATTGATTATTTCATGTTCAGAACTTGTGTGTAGGAATCTGCTTTGTACTAATACCGAGATCCCACACCCACACTCATAAGGTTCAGACGATATGAGCAATTGCATTTTTTGCATGGTAGGCCGACATGTAATTTTCTTGCTCAGAAATGATTGGATATGACGCAGAAAAGCATTTCTAAGAAAGAAAGATGTTCGACGAAAAACGCCCAAGGGAGACTCTTGTCTTCATTTTTGCGAGAAAATATTTTTCTTCAAAATTGTTTCGTATTATATATCATTCGACGCAGCTTAATTTACTGATTCCTAATATATTATTTTTGTTGACTCAATATATTTCTAAAGCCAGAAAAACCGAATAGCCTAGGTTTTTTGGGAACTCACTGTGCAGTTTAGCAGTATTTGTGCTGACAGGAATTAGAGACAGTAGATAGATGAACATTGTGGCAAAATTTGGTAGAGTGTGGAAGTTGCATGTGAGTGGATAACTGATTTTACAGGCATACTCCTTCGGATAACACTATGGAAAAAAAATATTCTTTTTTTTTCTCAAAGGTTAAACATGCAAATTAAAAAAAATAATTTTTACCGTTTTACAAAGCTCGACTTGAAGATTCGGACAATGTACTTGATTTATATGTCGAAAAGTTTAATATTGTCAGATATCAATTTTCTCGGTGACATCATAATTTTCAGGCTAATTTTTCATTTTCTTTGAGTGCTGTAACAGAATTATTTCTACGATTAGATAGACTCTGTTTCAAGGTATGTTTCCCTATATTTAAACCTTGAAAAAGTGTGGTTTTCATTTTTAGTCAAATGTCTGCCTAGATGCATGTAGTGAGTGGAAGTTCCCTTAGGGTGATGATAGATTTGATCTTGTTTCATCATGTTCTATGAGATAATTAACAATTTTATTTCTTTCTATTTAGCGTGCAATGCATGGTCTTGAAGAATTTAGACGTGTTCTTGATGTAAATACTGCAGGTACATTCAATGTTATACGTTGGGCTTGTCATGTTATGGCTGATAATCAACCTGATGCTCAAGGTCAACGTGGAGTTATTATTAATACAGCTTCTGTTGCTGCTTATGAAGGTCAAATTGGACAAGTAGCATATGCAGCATCAAAAGGTGCAATTGTATCTATGACATTACCATTAGCACGGGATTTGTCAAATATGGGTGTTCGAGTTTGTGCTATAGCACCTGGTGTTTTTCATACACCAATGCTTGCTGCTTTACCTGCAAAAGTTCGACTATTATTGGGCAATATGGTTCCATTTCCAGCACGACTTGGAAACTCTGATGATTATGCTCAGTTAGCACAAGCTATTATTGAAAATCCTTATCTTAATGGTGAAGTTATTCGATTAGATGGAGCACTTCGTATGCCACCTTAGTGATTATTTGAATAGACGAAGAACTTAACCTTTTTTTTTTGGTCTTTCCATTTGTTCAAGCAGTTCTCTTTATTGAAAATTTTTGTCGTTTTGTATTGATATTCAATAGAAAAAAGAAAATAAAATCGATGCCGAAAAAAATTTGGTGAAAGGGCAATAAAACTAAAATTCTAGATGAAAGATCTTGTTACATTACTTACTGATGATTTATTAGGTACCGGTCTTGCTTGTGTAAAGAGATTTGTACATCAGTTACATGTACATGTTATCATATGTGATTTACCTTCAGCATGTTCATCATATATTCCTTGTTTATCATTAATTCTACCAACTCATCTTACGTCTGAATCGGATGTAAAAAAATGTTTTTAATCGTAGTCAAAAAGATTTCGGTTGCATAGATGTATTTGTTAACTGTGCTAGTATTACCCTTTCTCAACAAATTTTTGAACATTCATTTGAAAATTTTAATCGTATAATTGATGTTAATACTAATGGAACATATAATATGATTCAGCATATGATTCCATTAATGGTAAATAATGAAATAATTATAAATATGTCATATGTAGCTGCATTTGAAGGACGACGCGGACAAACAGTTTACGCAACATCAAAAGAAGCTATTGTGAAAATGGCTCGACCATTAGCAGAAGAATTAGCATCAATGAATATTTGTGTATGTGATATTGTTCCTGATGTTTTTGATACATCGCTATTACGTGAATTACATGTAAAAGTTTCTAATATACCAGGAGATTTTTCACTCTTTTCTGCTCGACTTGGCGATTCAGATGAATTCGCACAAGTTGCTCAAACAATTGTAGAAAATCCTTTGTTGAATGATATAAATATTCGAGTTGATGCTCTTCTTCGTATGCCATCTAAGTAATTATTTTATTACTTCATACATATAGCAAGATGCAAAAGTCTTTGCCTCCAATGTTTCAACTATTTCTCACGATGACTTTGATGAATATGGAAATCAATCATATTCACAAATAAGGTATAGCATAAGATACAAAAGACCACACTTAAAATGTGACTTTTCTTTTCTTAAGAATTAATCAAAGCTAACTATCGCGATTTATCAAAAAAAGCCTTGCACGTACACCACGGAGGTTAATTGATTTGCCCTCTTTGTGTTTTTATATTTTTAAACATACTGTATGCAGCAACAAAGTACGAAATGCACTGCATCTTATGGTATATTCCCTTTGAACAACGGATAAGGTCTGAAACTTAAAAGCTGTATCAGAAAAAAAAGTGATACTTTTTTCTTCACATTCCCGGGTGAACTAGGCGGATTTTCTCTGTTATTTGTTGTGTTTGTATTTCTATTAACAAACATTAGTTCACAGTAGTGTTTTGAAATCGAGCCGGACACCCGATACCCGAATATATGGGATCTCAACGTTTGAGAATATTATTACTTTTCAAATTGCTATATATATATATATATAAGCATAGGAATGAAAATCGATTCAATCATGATTAAGCAATTTATTGTACTTGAGAATAGGTCACAGAAATGGAAGGAGATATTGTATTATGAAAATTCGTTTTTAATGAAAATTCATCTACAGATGACGATGAATTATTCGACGAAGTAACTGAATATATGGAGAAAAAAATGAACTATCAAAAATATGAACGTGTGCTATCGTAATGGAAAAAGCATTCATGCATATATCCACAATCATGATGTTTGACACCAACACTGTGTTCCATTCTCGCATCATTAGGAACAAGTAAATGTATACTTAGCGAAATTGATCGGATTTCAGAAGTATAAAGACACCAAGTGAATTCTGAATTACTTAATTCACGTGTCTTTTTATAGAATTTGACGAAATCTCTTGTTTCTGTTGCTGCTTATGGAAGAAACTGAACAATATACTATTTCATATAAAGTGAAAGTTTGAAAACTGTAGTAAAAGTTTCTGCCGTACGGTAATTAGCTTCGATCTGGGTCCGGGTACGAAAAATTGTACTCATACAGAACACTAGTTCACAGTTTATATTTATTCAGAGCTCTATTATCGACACTAATCAGCATAATAAAATAAGGTAAAGACTGTTTTCTCTATGGAAAGTAAGAAAAGATTTAATTTCAAATTATTTCATATTTCTTTATCGCCTGTGTTAATGTGCATAACACAATACCCATTTTTTATTTTGGTCTATGTTTTTGTGCCATTCGTTTTCTCATTTGTGTATTTATCAATATTTAAATCCTTTTCATAACTGCATGTATAGGCTTCTCATTATTATTATTATTATCAACGTTGTATTCATTTTGAACAGAAGAAAATAATAGTGTTTATCTAAAAACTGATATAACATATGGAATTTATGTATATTATAACCAGCTGTTGTGATAAACCGATAAATTTCCTTTATTATGGTCTAAATGTGAACATAGATTGTAGAAAGAAAAACGCCATCTGTTTTTCCGATACAGCTTTTATGCTTTAACCCTTTAAGTACCGACGACGCGAATTCGCGTCCTGATAGTTTAGAGTCTGAATAACTTTAGAAAACATGATCGTTTGATTATTTTATGATATAAATTACATGAATATTTGCGTTTAGGATATTTGTACAGTTAAGACTATCTGTATCTAGTGATGAATATTGGTTGTTCCCTAATATTTCTATCGACCACTATATGATTCAATGAATTAGAACATAAGTCATTGGACCATATTTCCCAAGAAAGAATAATCGTTATCAAGAGGATTTTTTATATTAACACAGTCATTCAAGAGTGTTATCTATAGTAAAGGTTCTGATCAATTGATCATATTTGATAACATTTTCCTTCGTGCATTGAATCAACAGAGACTCAACTAAATCCAAGAAGAAAATGCTACGTTTGTGCCAATACTGTGAGACGAGCCAGATCAAGAAGAGATACTTCGTATGAACGCATTGAATGTGATGTAGGATTGTGTCTTATGAATTGTTTTAAAGACTATCACACTCTACAAGCATTTTAATTCATGTACTTTGTGATATTTTTTGTGAAATAAACGTTAGTTTGAAATTATAAAAATTTTTATTATATAAAAATAATCCGACACTCAAAGGGTTAAACTTTATTCTTCGTTCAAGACAGATATATCATAAGATGCAACGGATTTCCTACTTTCACACTATACATAATATGTTAAAAACAAACGACGAATACCAATAAAAAACGCAAAAAAAAACAAAAGAGGGAAATCAATTGGTTTCTACCATACTATTGATCTTTATCTTAGACATGTGGTACGGTTTATCAGTATCGTTGAATGAAAATGCAAGATGGAAATCTATATTGAAATGATAACGTAATAATTTCTACATACTTCATTTTTTATGTGATCTTTTCTTGTGTTTGGTTTTATACGAAGATGAAAAAAATAAAGAATGAATACTCTAATTTGATTCACAATAATTATTTGAGATTTATATTTAATCAAGAATAGGTAAATTGAATGAGAAGAATAAGTGGAAAAAATTCGATTTTTGTAAGTACACTTGATTAGCTTCTGATTAGAAAAAAATTTTGTTTATGTGAAAACTTTCACACCGCAGTTTTTTATTTCTTTCAAATACTGTGTCATATGTTTTCTAATTATTTCCTATATTAATTAATAAATTATAGATTGAATAAATTAAATGATCGATATCAAATAAATTTAATCGAACATAGGAAACAAACGTTTCATTAGATAGACGTGAGTTTCGAAAAATCGCATTAAGAAAACAACATGCCCACTGCTAGATGATCCAGTCATGGTTTTTTTAAATGTCTATTACATTTGTTATCGTCAAATATGTGAAAATCGAATAAATAATAGAAGTAAATATTATTACAAAAAACAACCATTGTTTTATCAATTGTAAAAGAAAACGTAGGTTGCAGGAAAACAAATATTACATTCTGAAAGTTTTCTTTTGAGAATTTGCACAATGTTATCAGCAAATGATCAAATCAAGTTGATATAATAATTGTGAATAAATATAGTGACTTCTTCTACTGAAATCTTGAAGTTAATGGTTATCAAATACTTAATGAGATTTTGAAATTTACTGAACATATCTGAGTGAATATATATCAATGCAAGGTACCAATTATTTCTGTAGGGATGCATTTTCAATCATCACCATTACAGTCACTAAGACTGTTAAACACTCAAGAAATCTCTAATGAGCACCTATATAGCCGATAAACGTATCAGAATCTGCAATGAGATCGTTTTTTTTTGGTATGATTCATATGAATTCGTATTAAGACAACTCAATGGTGCCAAAAAAAAACGCGACTTTCATTATTAGTTTACGATTACATGTCTCGATCAATGTGTCGATTTACTCTAGATCTATATTAGCAATGAATAATGTATCAGCTGCTCACTGTCACTGGTGCATCACTATTTTCGACTTTACAGTCTATTGATATTTTTTATGTTCAAGAAATTCTTTTTTTTCTAATTTCAGAACGTTTAAATTGTCTAAAATCATATAATTATGACAATTGTACATAAATAATATAGAAGAAATTAAAAAACATCATTAATAATTTAAATTAATATCTATTAAAAGTGAAAAAGTTAAACTCCATCATATTTCCTTATGTAAAGAAGGAATTTCAATTTATTATACTCAATAAACTAACAAAACAAAATTTGTTCAGTTATACTACAACAATAAAATTTTTTCAATTAACATATTAAAATGTTTTCTCTTGTAAAATTCTTATTCTAAGTTAATTCATTAAATTTATACTAGTCACATTATATGAAGTGTCCAGTATATACGTAGTTTTAAATAAATAAATAAATAATCTAATGCAAGGAATAATCAATATCTTTTATCTATCGAAAAAATCTCCCGAGAAAATATTCATTCCTAGTCAAGCTTATCAAAGTATAGAATGTAAAAAAGAAAACTTAGAGCTTTCAAAACTATTGGTTTAATAAGATAAGAAAGCTTTATTGTCATCTACTAACAGTGAAACAAGCTTGTGTAACTTATTACCCAAGCAGAGAAGAATTTTGAAAACGCCTTTAAACAGTGTAATCACAGTTCCTCTTTAAGCATTTTCACGTCCACTTAAAAAACATCAAAATTAGCTATAATTATCATTAAAAATGCTTAAAAAAAGTATTTTTTTTAATCTGTAAAACACATTTCAGGAATTCTTGTCCACTTGCGTAACCCGATCCATGAATATATCGAAAGATCACATACGTATTTAAGGTTATTAACTTTTTCAGTATTGTTACTGAGAATAGACATTACAATCATTGGCAACTGATATAAGCAATATTCTTTTATTTGTCATTGGAAAAGAAACAAAAGGTAGTCGCTTCTCATGAAGTGCTATTATCCTTTATGATATTTAGCTAATATTTTGAATGCATACGTACGACAATAAATCATGGTTGCAAGAAACGATCAGCTCTCCATCAGTTGGCATGTATTGGAATCATGACTTACACATTTTCCTTTCCTTCTGGAAAACATATTCAGTCGAAATATGCACACAAAAAGTTTTTATTAATCATTTTGTTATTATACAAGCTACGATTGATTTTTCTACAGCTCCATGTGTCTACTTTATTATTACCAAAGCCTGAGGTACATAGTCAAGATCTTAGTACTTATCACGCCTTGAAATAATGACCCGTGTTGTAGCGTTAACTTGATTTCATTCAATGTTGTAGCTATAAAACTTTCAGAATATACTTATCATTTCATCGGAACTTTCTATTAAAATTTTCAATTGGTCAAAGTCATCATGGACAAGATTCATCTTACTAAAAAACCAGCATTTGCTCTTCAACATGCATTCTTAATAAGAAGACAATATCTCGGTTATTTTAAAGTAATTTCTAACAA